AAATATCTCTTCAGATATAACAGTGGTATCCTTTAAGTTTCTCATTGGTTCTAGAACAAAATCTGCCTTTCTGTGCCCCTCATCACATACTAACTCAGCTGCTAAGATAATGATTTATAATCAACATAATTTTGTACCCACCACCAGTTTAAAAACACCAAGCATCCAAAGTGTATAATCAGGACCAAATGCACATTTACAAAGTCTTTAACACCCTCTGTCCCCCAAGTTATGAAACAATAGTTGTCTTATCCTGGAAGTGCCAAATAATGAGACTCGTTGTACCTTCCATCACTGACTCGATCAAATAAGCATGGTACAGATCTGATATGCTACGCTGCCATTCCTGACCAGCTGCCACTACAGCACTTGGCATCATAACTCTGGAAAGCCAATTCACTAAGGACATCTGGAGAACTGTTCATGTCAGAACATTGTCATTCTGCACTCTGCCACTAGATGTCATTTAAAAAAAAAAACAAAACAATTTTACAAACGAGCAATAAAAGGCTGCCTTAATAAAAGCAAAGACCTGCTAGTTGTAATATCAGTAAATGTGTCTATGTAAAGGAAAAATCTAATAGAGACAGTAATTCCTGTCTTAACTGAGGACCATCACTGAACCTTGGTTGAAGCCAAAACCTGAAGTTTTTCCCAAACAACCTGGCTACTGAAATAGATCTCTGGAATTTTCACTGGCATTAATCTGCAGTAGCAGAGAGTTTACTAGAAAGAAGAGCTGCTGAGACTTCTCATCTCGAGGTCATTCCCTCTTCTCTCTGCTACAGATTCATACCCTCTAGTCTTCAATGCTTATGTATCTTTACCACTGAGGACACCATCATTTAGTCTGAATGGTGTGAATCTCCTAAATTTGTATTTAGCTACCTATGTAGTTATACTACCTTTACAAAAGGCACAAGTTAATGTAAATTGAGAGACTTTGTCTCCATACACCTGTTTCTTAGCTGGCATCTTACATCCACATAATTGGGTGTATTGGATATCCACTTAATGTGACTTCAGTATCTGTTAGATCAAACTCACAGGAGTTTGTGAGACCAGATGTTCAACAGAGATTTATATTTCCAAAGGTAACTGGTAAATTATAGTTTATACAAAGATGAGACAGGTTTAATTTTAACACTTACAGCAATACCATCACTTGCCCCAGTGGTAAGATATATGTTATCTGGATCTGCAGGGACCCCTCCATCTCTTCTCTCAATGTATGAAGCAACATCTTCACGGATGCAATTTATACCTTGACTGGCACTGTAAGATCCTGTGAAAAATAGAGAATGAGATGAGAATTGAGTATAATGAACATCAGATGTTATGTTTGCTAGTAAAACTCCTGAGCTAGTATTGTATCAAGTAGTTTGTATATGAGGGCTTTGGATCCCCAGGATTGTTTTTTTTTTTCCAAGGAGTAGGAAAGGGTCTGTTCACAGAGTAAAAGAATTCATTCTGAAATTAGGCAAATATAATAAGTATTACTAAAATACAAAAATAGTGTACTGAATTGGTAAAAAGTAGTATTTGAAGGCCACTTTGCAAACTGGGACAGCAATCTCATTTTGACTATCTCCTAGTTGCTTTCTTTATGTTGAAAACCACTTCAGAGTATCAGCCAACACCTATTTAAGTAATGGGAATAAGGAAGAGAAGTAGCATGTGCAATAGAAAGGAAAATGTCTTCAAATCCATGACAAAAATAAGATTTCTATTTGCAATATGAAGATAATATAATACCATTTTCTCCCACAGTCTGAAATGCAAAAAAATATTGTAAACTGCTGCTCTCTCTCCCTACAGCATCTCCCATAACTGCATTTCAGTTACTTATAGCAGAAACATCTAGGATCACCCCAATCTATAAGCTTCATGTGCAGTTTACAGAGCACAACTAATAATCTTAAATAAAGTAAGATGTTAGATGCCTCTGGGCATCATAACTGAGTGTGTGCAATAATTAAAGAGTAAAAATAAGCCTAAGCCAAGGTGAGGAATGGATTCAAGCTATGAAGCCTGAGAGTGATGGACAATGAAGTGACAAATGTACATCTAATTTAGAACACTGTCATGAAGCTGCAGAATCTTCTTTGCTTGTTGGGTGGAGTGGAATAATTGTGCCAGACTTAACTCTCATCACTCAAGTTATATGCTAGCAGTCTGCATGATAATACTTCTGTGAAAGCATGATTTATAAAGACAACCTTTGCAAGTACTGCACAACTGCATAGGACAAAATGGTAATTCAGGGCACCAAGTTCCTGATGTCCTGAATGTTTACTTTTACGGGACTAAAAGTTGTACTGGGTCTATATATGGGCCTTTGACCACAGCTAGGAAGCTACTGTTAACGTAGGAGAACTAACCTAAGCTGTCGTTCTGTCTTGTGCAGCCTTCTGAGGGCTGCATCCCGTGACTCGGTGAGGGTATACGGAAAACCTGAATTCAGTTTTCAGGTCTTCTACACTTAATTGTACTCAACTGAAAGCTTTGACTAGCACCCATCTGTTCACACTGCAGGATGCAAATAAACCCAACCCAAAAAGCTGCACATGCATATATTACATATTTTTATATATAGGAGAAGGGTAAGTTTCTCAACTGCCTGGAAAGATATGACAGTTATCCCACGTACAAAGTTACTGATGTCAAAGGAATCCCAGAGTATTTGAACACAACAGAAGCTGAGGACATATATGAGCCTACACAGATGGTCTGGGAGTAGCAAGACTCATTACTATGAATAGGGTTTTGCCAAATGAACATTCATTGGAGGTGAGGTTATTCTAGTTCATACCCAGAGGTCAAGACATTCATATTAACTCTGTAATTAATACATTTACATAGGCTGGTATAGATGTGGGTACAACACTTCAAATAGCTTGACCATATGTAGTGAAGCCACTTCTGTGTTGGATTGACAAATTTTTTGAAAATAAGATTTTATTAGTACACAACGCAGCACTTAAAGCTGCATGGAGAGATCAGTTTTTGACCTTTGCTTTTTCCCAAGAAAGCCAATTTCTCCTTCTCAGCCATGAAGTAAGTTGTCAGACTAACAAAGCGATAGGAGTAACTTCCAGTCATCTGCACATCCACTTGCCTCAGACCACGTGTTTATGGAGTGCTGTGCAGAGGCTGATGAGCAACTGAGGTCAAGAGTAGGGGCTGATACTTGATACTGGAGACAGGGAGGGTGGAGAGAAGGCATAAATCAGTAGAGCAGATCAGTAAGGTTTACAGTAGGTTTAGTTTTCAGGAATTTAGAGCAATGGGAATATATATATCATAATTATGATATATAATGTTTTGAGAGATATATATCAAGAAATATATATATATATCAGAAAAAAAATTGTTTAGACTCCAGTTACCAATTTATCTACTGAAATTAAAAGGGTGTATTTAGAATTATCATCTTATTTGAATATTACAACTGTTTCAGCCCTACTTCCTCAACGTCTACTGAACTAACGCAAAATACTTGAATATGTGATCTTCTGCTGAAAAGGGGATTTTGTAGAGTTAATATATTTCTGAAATATCATGCGAGGCTGAATTCCTTTCATTTCACTCCAGCACGGGGCCCAGAGCCAGCATTCTGAGAACTCTTAGCATGTCCCTGATTTGAAAATCACTACAAAGAAAGATTGAGGCAAAATTCAGATGTATCCCCAGTAACTCTTACATGACAACTAGTACTATGTGAATTAATTGTTACAAAGTAAGCCAGGAAAGGAATTCATGGAGCTAGAGGAACTTCTCAGTTTTGATAAATGTATTTTTAGTGTTCTACATATAGAAACAAAACCAATGCAAAAAAGGTGAAGATAAAATACGTTCTGTATTAGGCTGCATTGTTAGGAATAGTCCAAAGCTGAAATACTGCTAACATAACCAACTATTGAGGTTTTGTTTATTTTATTAAGTTTCACAGCACCTACTCTGAAAATATGCCAGTGCACATAGGCACTGCAATCACAAAGATTAAGCAATATGCCACTTACTCTAATACATACTCTGAAATGTCACTGTTGGCGTACCTGAAAGAAGAATTAAGTGTGCCAGACTCTTTGCTGTACCCAGCAGCTGTAATACTATCTCCAGAGCAGAAATTCTAGTGGCGTTTCCCAGGTACAAGTAGGCAATACAATTGCTAGATCATAAAGAATTTTGTCTCTTCCATTTCCTCTCTACTCAATATGCAAAGTTTGTACTTATTTATCTGTATGTTATATGTATACTCTTGCAGGAACAGTTGTTGAAGAATAGAGTCCTTTAGTTCTTTCAAGGGTTATTATTTTACCTTGGAGGAATAGGGCATTGACATCTTCAGTTAAAACTATCTCAGCTAAGTAAAAAACTTCCACCTTTCAGCTGTGTAGCTTTCCCTTTGCAGAGCATTATTGCCTTGGTACCTGAGTTTCTGATACCCCAGTTCATATTCTGACAAACATACTGGGACTGATGGTTCAAAATTAAAATACAGGTCTGTGAACTAGATCAGCTGAGATGGATATATATTGTTTGTTGATACCATCATTACAGGGACAGTAGAGTCCTTGGCAGAGAAGAATCTCAAGATGATAAAACTGTAAACAGCCCCACCTAGACGTAGCAGGAGACATAGCTGTCAGAGCCCAGGATTAACAGATGTCATAAGAGCAGTAACAAAGCTTCACTAGTGCTCTCTGCCACTTACTTTTCTAATACAAAGCTCAGCATTCTGTTTAGGGTTATGCCTAGATGTTATTGTGATGAGGGCTCCATAACTGTATGATCCTCATCTTATCCTCTTCTGTGACAAGTCTCGTAAAAAATTTGTGCTGTTAGTCACTGCTTATCAGTAGGCCACACCATAAACCCTCCCCCGATCATTTTGCCCTAGGTCATCTCCCATTTGACTTGTAATCATATAAAACACAATTAAGAAATTTCAGCACTGCAGATCTTGAAACTACCTTTGTTGATTCTGATACCAACAGGAGCAATTGAAACAGACGCTTACCTAAGCTGTTTCCTCCACAACCCTGCAAGATCCGTCTGGCTCGCTTTTTGGCATCTTCTGGAAAACTTGGACTGTCCAACAGGTTTGGGTATGTACACAGTGCCACTACCTAGAGTGCCAAAAAAATGTAAATTGGCCACTTGTCAATGGTTATTTTAATTTTATATTTAATTAAATTATTACTGTTAACTCTTCTTGGAAATGGAGATCGCTAATACTAGCTAATTTCAAACAAAGGTTATTGATGAAGAGTTTACAGTTGCTTTTTTAAGGGTAGTGCTTATAGAAGTGAAGAAATCTTACCAGGTTCTAAGTTCTGCTGATATAAACAGTTATAGAATTATTAACTATTTGTGCTATGGACGGTGAAGATTGGGGTCCATGTGAGTTATGCATAGTGTGAATACAGTAAAACACAATTATTCATGTGTTATCTCTGAGCACCTATATCCTCCACTCTTTGTGTATTACTAGCCCATTTTATTGACAAGAAATCAAGAGTTTAAATATGGAGCAGAACTGAGAAATACGATCAAATTTTGAAGTCCCAGTTGCATGTTCTAATAATCCTTCCCCAAAATAACTTATAGTTGTTACTAATTTTGAACTTGTGGGAAATATTTAATTAAAAAAGAAGTGGTGATATAGGACGTAGTAAAAGTAGAAACATGACCTAGCAGAATTAAGTTTATGAAGGAATGTAAGACACAAAGAATCTAGAGGTCTTGCTTGAGATCAGCTAAATTTTTATACTTACATGTGTAATACGGATGTTGTCATCTTGTGGAACAGTGAGTGAAGAATTAATTCACTGTGTGCACACAGTCATGGAGAGAAAGGATTTCCCATTTACCCAGTATTTTCTTTAATAACGTTAGATCTGAATAATTTGTAAGAAGCTCTGGTCTTCCTAGTTTGCTGACACTTTGATGTATAGCTCAAATTTATAATCTCCATCACCTGGACCCCCAGTCTGATACAGCTTCAGTTTGTCCTGCAACTCACTGAATTTACATTATTATAGACTGAGGATTTTACATGTGTAGGGGATGCTCAGTAAATAGCGTAATACTAGTTTGTGTTTTAGAAATAACATACAAATGTGGATTTTGTTGTAATCTTTCCTAAAAGTTAACCTACCAGTTAGCTTGCCCAGAGGTAAAATGTGCAAAATCAGCAACAGTACAACTAGTTGCACCCAGCTGCGTACAGATCTGTCAGATGAAGAAAGGCATTTGCTTTTTTATTTAAAGACAAACACTTCCTTTTTTTGAAGTGCGTTATTGATAATGAATGTGCAGACTGACAACAGAGGAGAAGTGGCAGTACGGATGGGAAATGATCTGAAAAGTAAGGAAAGCTACTGTGTTGAAAGAGGACACTCAGGAAGCCAGGCGACTTAGACTCCATCTTAAGACTTCACCTCCGAAATCAAAATTTGTAATTCTTTACAAAAGAACAATTGTAAGTCTAAGTGCATGTAGGGAATAATTTATACTAATACACATATCAGACAGACTTTAAGGCATTCTTGGTAATCTAACAAAAAATCAAGAATAATATTTTATAATATTCTTACCTGACGGAGGAAGGTGATTGGCCTCTGTCCCATTGCATGTGCATCTCCAATGTTGGCTTTAATTACTTCAGTAAAAGGTTTTTTGATTCCCTTGAAAGAGATAATTCACAATGTATTGTTAGGGCTGAAGTAGATGATAAAGAATTCCTCTTTTTTGGTATCTGTCATATGGCTGTAACCAAACAGTGCCTAATCTCAGAGTGTTTAACGTAAAGCTTAATGCATTTCTTATACAATACTGCCTGTAAATCTTAAATGCTTTACAAAAATGATGCTGAATGTGACACATTTTAAAATGAGAGGCTGACTTTTTCTTCTGCTAGCTACAAGTAAGAGATTGACTTGCCTAGAAACTACATGTTGAAATAGAAAAGATTAAAGAAAGGCATTTTGACTTGTCGGTATTAGAGCAACTTGTTTGATACACCTCTGGGAGGGATGCATCAGTCAAGAAGCTAAAAAGATTTGAGGACATGTGAGAAACTCACCAACAAAAGAAACCTCAAGACCTTTAGTACTTTTTAGAGTAAAAAGAGTAAAGATACTGCTTGCTTATTTATTTTCAATTTAAATATCCATTGTGTGATGACCCCACTTTTCCATATACAGATGTTATACAAAGTATATCATAGTGAGGCTGTATATGATAAACAGTATAAGTGCTAAATAATCACCATGAATATTTAAAAGCTTCCTAATCTCTGAAATCTGAACAGACAGCCATTTTTCCTGTGAGGAACTGAATACATCATGAGAACAGAGGGAAAACAGTTGATGAATGTTGATTAGCAATCACAGCTCTTTAAAAAAGAAAAATAAGGTAAAAAAGGAAATGAACTGACTGGTAGAAGAAACCACCATTGATTTAAATAAAAAAGATCGACTGAAAGTACAGCCCAACATTACAAGAAGAATAAATGAGGTAGGCAAAAACAAACTTATAGCTTTTCTAATGTGTATTTAAGTATGAGAGATATTAGGGAGGCCTTCTAACAGTGACAGAATTTTCACATGGACTAGTGCACTGCAAAATTCGACCAGTTAGTTTTCTGTACAACAAACCTGCTCTGGCTGTGGCTGAACTCACAAAGCCTCTTCCTGGCCTATGTATTGTATTTACAGCAAGTTATTGGCTTTGGATATAAAATATATGTCTTGCAAGCCTTAACTAATTTTTGCTTTTCTACCATAGATTATATGTTGGACTTCAGTGACAGACTGGAACCCTGATGTGCAAAGATAACAATGACCAAAATATCAGTAGTCACCAGGAATAAAAATTTCCAGGTATGTCAAGATTTGGAGGTTTACAGCTGCATAATGTGGCTGAGAGGTTATGTGCTAATGTGACTCAAATCCCCACTACAGATCCAGTCCATCATATAAGTGATATTTTCTTTTGAAATTAAATAGGTAGTTAGAAATGGCATTAAAACAATACAATTGGACTTACATCATCCTCACTCAAAAGTGTCAATTTTATATGGCCTTAAATTTAGCAGGAATTGAAAAAAGAGTTCACTTAAAGTAATTAAAAGTGACACACTGACTCACTCATGTCCTTTGCTTTTATCTTTGCTGATCTAAGTGCCTAAATAAGAGGAGTCCATTGGTAGCACAACATTGTTTCATTCCAATTTACAAATAAACAGGAAAATAAAGATACATGTAGAAAGAAAACAAATTCAATTTGCATGAAATTAAGAAAAATTCCCACAGATTTTGGTTGCATTTGGTTCTTACAGCAAACTGAAGCAGTCTCGCTGGATTTGCACAGTAATACAAATTTGTTAAAGAATAAGGCATGCCTTAAGAAGGCAGTCTAAAAAAGCACTGCAGTTCTCAGCAGTAAGGTGGACCAGAAATACCCTGTTTTACCAGATTAAAACCAGAGCAAGTGAAACCCCTAACAAGATAAAATAAACATGCTAGACAAATTAGAAGCCTTTTGCACACAAACACTGTTGTGATCTGTGATAAAAAAATAGTTGCTTCTTTAATTAGTGAAATGCTGAAAGGTACCCTGCATTTCAGAATGTACCTTTGTAGTTTTTATAGTGGTACAGCCTTTGCAACAAAGGTAGCAATCCTTTTTGGTGTCTCTGTCAGGTTTATTGAAAATAATGTTGTAGCTTATTAGCACTGATGCCATCTAGATATCTGCTACTGCCAAACTCAGTGTTTATGCCATCGCTGCCTTTGGGCATCAACTGCAAATGTATAATCATCCTCTACTCCATAAACACCACCCATACCTTTGCTACTGAAATGACTGATGTGGAGAAAATAGCAAAACGTACATAACAATTATCTGACAGTAAAATCCTGGTAGAGAAGGAACAGTTAGGCTTTCTGTGTTGTACACACTGCTCCCACATACCTGCTTAAAGGCCAGTCCTCTTGACTAACTTGTCTTTTTCTTGGTCTCAGCTACAAGAGCTGTTGCCCTTTTTGTCTTTCAAAAGAGAAATGCTTTTAAATAACTGGGGCCTTTGCCTTCTCTGACAATGAGTTAATATCAGCAATTGTTCAGAACTGTCTTCATGAGGTGAAGTGAAATCTAGAAAAAAATTGTTATGACTACTTGTTTTTTTTCTCTTTTTTTTTTTTGTGTCTTGATTTCTAGTCTTTCTATGGAAAGAAGGAATATCAAAGTTGTTCAGATTTAGTTTTGATTTCTCCAGAACAAAATGTCACATCTTACCATTTCAGAAAGAAGGAACAGGCAACAGTAACAGGCAAGAACAAGTGTCGAATGCTAATGAGTTAAAAGTTTCAAAGCAAGAATATCAGAAGCTGGCATCAAGGGAAGTCTAGACAGTGTCTATGACTCTGCAGAGGAGTTCAGGGTGGAACTCTGCTTAAATCCTTAAGACAGATTGGCATTAGTCACTGTTACTTGTATCAGGGTTTCTGCTACGGTGATGGCACTGGTGTGCATGGGTATCCAAAGGAAGATTAATGTCAAATACTTTTTGGAAATTCTATGAAAAGATCTGTATGAAAGGAAGAAGTGTGAATGGGATGTTGGTAACCTCAACATCAGGTTGTAGAACAGCAGGAAGAGTGCTGTGACAGGACATCATTTGTTAGGGCAAGATTTATTTCACTGCAGAAGGCTAAGCAGTCTTTGACCATGTCAGCAACATGCCTGTGCTGAGACAATTTAAGTCGCTGGCAAGCCAAGGAACATACAGAGGGAACAGAAACTAGGCCATTGGAATTGTTTTGCTTTCTTCTAGTGATGGAGAGCTGTGCCCCCCAGCCCCTTCTTCTCCCTCTCTCATGTTTTCTCTCATACATTCTCTCTCTCATACTCTCTCCTGTATTCTCTCTCTCTCTGTCTCACTATGGGCAGACTTTCAAGGTGTGTTCCAGGAGCAGTCTGACTGGATTGTAATTGGCCTCTGCCAGCAGGCGGAGATTTGGAAAAGAGAAGCTTGCAGAACAGGAGCTCTAATAACAAACTCGGGAGCAGTAAGTACCATATTGATACTCAAGTCTCTTGAAGAGGGTATGAACCACATCAAGAAGAAAAAACAATCCCCAGCCCTATAAAACAACCACTGCTACAGCCTTCTGCCTTTGGTAGCACGTCACACTGTCCTAACAACATAATTCATCTTCATCTTAGGAACAAAGCCAATCTTTTGCCATTCTTTTGAAATTGTTAGCAAAGGGACTAATTGTAGTAGCCATTTTTAAAGCTGAAGAAGCCATCTTGCACTTTCAAATTCAGATGTAAAGCAGAAAATATAAAAATGTGTTAATTTTTTTTCAGTTGCTGTCTTCTTGATAATGAAAGGATTTTAATGGAATAAAAGAATCTTCACAGATTTGGAATAAGCTCTTTGGAAATTACTTCCTTCAGCAGTTACTTCTGTCACTCTCCTCTTCTCAGAGGAAATGCAGTCTTTTAAAAGACCAGATGAAAAGCCTCTGAAACCTGAAGCTGATCAGACAGGATTATTCTAACAACTGTGTTCTAAATATCACACAAAGTTGGGAGAAGGGATTTTCATATATGAACCAGAATTTATTAGTGCAGATTCAGTACAAAACTTTACATTGCTAACCAGATTTGGAGAAGCTTCCTATTCCCCTAGACATACCCATGGCCTCAAGAAACTCGGCAGGTAACAAGTACAGTATGAAATGATGAGCTCTCTCTCAAGGAGAGAGTCACCATGCAAGAAGTGTTGGGAGAATTATTTGATCAGAGAAACCATGTGATGCCAGAACATACACTATCCCAAAGAACATGAAGGCAATGTACTGCCAGGAGCTGGTTTTGACTCTCAGGAGTTTTAGTATGCCTGGAGGTTCCCTTTACGATGGTGCCATCTAAGAATGATGGCAAATTGTGAAATAACACTGTCCCCAGAAAGAGTGAAGAAGGGTGCAAAGTAACCTAAAGCTGTCTTTGCTAAAATCTTCATCAAATTTCCACAGAAAATCCTCAGTCTGTAGTTTGTGTGATTTGGATTTGGTAACAATTGGAAATAATTGAAAAGGGTTCCCTTGAGGAGGCCATGAAAATGTGAGGTGCTTTTAATCCCAGAATGACATGGTATTTCAACTATTTCTGAATTTCAGAATTTGTCCACTCTTGGCTGCTGCTTTTCATTTTTTCATTGCCATTGCTTTGTGCCTCCTTTTGATGGTTATCAGGCAATAACATCACACTATGAAACATCATGCTAGTCTGTTTTTGCTGTGACTTGCACAGACAAACTGTATAATAAGAGAGCTGGCAAAACCAAACATTTCACCATAGTTGAGATCTACACTGTAGCAGCCAAGTTGCTTGCTTGGTTTTTTTTTTCCCCTCTCTCAGAAGGCCAAGAAAGCACTACCCAGAGGCCCTTAACTAATAGGGACTTGAAGGCCTGAATTAGCATTCCAATCTTTTTATTAAAACAGCTCACAGCAGAAAAACAAACCTGACCTGCTTACCACAAAGTAAGGCTTTGAGTTTGTGTTATGCATGTGTAATTCAAGCTGACATGAACTGTTGTTGGAAGGAAGGAGAAGGCAAATTCTGGATTTTGACTTGAAATGGCAGTGATGACTTGCATGCCCCCTGATATCAGATAAGAAAATCAGTGCAGTTGACCATTAATTGGCAGATCTGATTTGGGGATTACAGAACAGGAGTTGTCCTCAAACTGCTTTTGCCTTATACATTGTTCAGAGTGCATTTGCATTTAGAAATTTTACCTATATGAAGAGTGCCCTAGATTTTAATGTGACTGTAAACAATAGAATTAAAATAATGCTTATTAAAAGAAGATTAGACATTAGAACCCTCTCAACTTGAAGACCTATTGGAAAATAGCTATTTTGGAATAGATTTTGCTACTGTATGCAACAAGAAAAGATCGAATAACTGGATCTTGTGGACTGTGTGCTTCTGAACATATGATTTCAGTAATCATACTCTTAAAACTGATTTTCTTTCATCTTCATCTGCAGTAGTTTTCACCCTGTTAAAAACCATGGCTTTTACTACAGATTGGCTTCTGTATACAACATGTACAGGCAACTGAGGAACCACAGTTCTGTCTTAATGAGGTCAAATGCTTTTGCCTGGAAGATACTTTCTTAGTGTGCACAGAGTCACGTATTCAAAGCAGAAAATTATAGGATGGTAATTTAAACTTAACATCTTTCATTACTGGGTGTACCAGTCAATCTTGTATCTTTTTTTGGCATGTCAAATTATATTTCTGCATGTCATTGTCTAAACTGTGTTTTATCTTTCCACAACTCCCAGGGACACAGTCAACTCACATTTACAATTAAGTCTGGATTCTGTCAGAATTTTCTCAATTCAATTTAAAAGCCTTTCTCTATTCAATTTAAAAGCCTGAAGAATTAGTTAAAAAAAAAAAACAAAAAAAACTCTACTATCTTTTAGTCAAAATGCTTTAGCAGAAGCCACCTGAGATTATAGCCATGTAAGTAAAAGAGATTTTGGTAGTTTTATCTAAACAGAAATGTTGGGAGTGAACCAGTGACTTGAAGAGTAAACATGCAACAGGAACCTATTTGCAATAGTTACGCAAATGAAAAACATGGACACGGTAGATGAGTGTACTTTTACTGCAAAAGTAATTCAGACTACAGTGGCTGTTCAGAAAAAAATGGGCTTCAATGTGTAGAGACTGTGTATTGCCATTAAGGGCACGCAGTTCCAGACCCATGGTGGAGTATGCTAACCACCTGTGCTGATCTGAAGGAACTTTCTACATGGTACCAATATATCTCTGCATACCATCCCTCTACCTTTTTCTGCCCTACAATTCTGTTTCAGTAACCTGAAAGTTTTGAACAGGGACCTAATGTTGTGTGATTTATACTAGCCAGGCACAGTTTCCAAGCTTACCTGAGTTGATTTGTGGATCATAAAATGCTGTTTAATATGCACATGCTTTGCAATTTATGTGTGGGCCAATTTAACCTGACAGAACTTGACATTATGTAAAACCTAAACGGGAAATGGGAAAAAAAAGGAGTGTAAGTGGAGAGAGATGTCAGAGTAACAGATATGAAGGGACTTTCCATAACAAGGTCAGTTAAAATTAGCATGAATACAAAGTAACAAATCAGGTATGTGTGCTGCCTATGTAAAGGTAAAGCTAGCTTGTTATTACTGGTTAAGTAAAGAGAAGGGCTCTGTCCAGAGATCACATTATTCTTGCATTGAATTCATGTTCAGGCTAAAATTTCTAGTCTGCAATGTAAATAAAGTCAACACTTGATACGGTGGCCATCTGTTAGCAAGTCTTTAAAAAGGGGTGAGAGAAAAAAGATCTTACTTGTTTACATTCTGTTGAGAGTATAATCATTTATTAAAATACGCCTGTGCTCTAGCTTGCTTTAAAAAGTTTCCAGCAACACCAAGGAAAATGGCTGAAGTCAGTTCTTTCTCCCTGTATCACCCTAGTAAGCCAGAATCAGAGGATGATTACTGTTAGCAAAGGGGAAGAGAAATCACTTTTCACTTATGAAGCATGATGCAATTTCAAAATTATAAAAAAAAATATTCAGAAAAGTGATTCAAGTAAGTGATTTTGCATCAAGATTTCCAGCTATAGTCTCTTTCCAGCACTCTTTATTTCCAGAAAAATTTCATGTAGATCAAAACCTCGATTTTCACCTACATGAATACAGGTCACAGGCCAACAAAATTTAGAAGTCCAAGTACAGCATGCCCCATGTGTACTCCTGAACAATCAATCTTATTCTGCTTTCAGAGAGTATTCTAACTTGTCAATTCCACTGACTTAATCCTGAGGATATCAGATGAAATTAATGCCTCTTTTTTATTTAAAGAACTATCCCTTTAATTGCCTAGTTGGAGACTTCTCAGATAACATTTTGGTCCTTATTTCTATGTGCACCATGGAGTTACAGCTCCCAGTGTAATCATTTGCAGTTAATATACAAAGGAAACAAGTGCCAGATAGAATAACAGAGGAACTGCTATTCAGAATCTGAGGCAGCAGAACAAACCTCAAAGAAGATAAAACCTCACACTGTGCAAACAGCTTCAAGTAGCTATTTTATAGTCTACATAACAGTTGTTTAAGTTACAAAAGTATGAAGTCTAACTGAATTGAACCAAGTTTAAACAGGGAGAGCCTCTATTGCATCTGAATAGGCAGTGTTTGCAGTTAAGATGCTTTTAGTTTAGAAACAAATGACTCAAAGGCATCTTGGCAGGACAGAACAAATGCAGATTTACCAGTGGACATTTCATTGCTTCACCTCTGCCTGTTCTTGCTACCAGTAGCCAGTTCAGCACCTCCACATCATACTAAGGAGTCCAAGCTTTCATGCCTGTGTAAAGCTACTTCCCCATCATATGTAGTAGAGTTGCTATGGCACAACCCATTTGCTGTCAATGAAGAGTAATCATGGATCTAGAGATGCTGTGGGGCATCAATCCTTTCTCTGACAACCACTTCAGCCTCTTTATCAGGCAATGTTAATTCTGCTGGCAGTGGTTGACTTCACTGTGTGAGCTAAGGATGAAAAAAGTAGTTGTCCAGTTTTAATTAAAAGTAAATGAGGAAGTGCCATTGACCTGTGATCACACAGAAGTCAATTTTCGACAAAAAAATAGACATTTAGATAACCTACTGTATTTCAGTTATGAGGAACCTAGGTACTACTCAAGGTTGTATCCTTTACCAGACCATTTGATTAAACAATAGAAGGAATAACAGTATTTTCATCGGAAAGGTGAAGACGACTGAGTAACTTGAGCGTTGCTGCTTCCTTTGATTAGTTGATTAGTGTTCTCTGCAGATACACTGTCAGCTTTTGAAGTAGTATTGTCCCCCTTCCCTGCCAACAGGGAGGCTTTTGTTTGCTTTAGTTGTTTTGGAGCAGTCACATGTCTGCGAATGCTGGTAGCCATTGATAATATTCCATGAACTGGTTCAAGAAAAAAAACTTCTAAATGGAAA